TGATTACCTTTCAAAAAAAAAAATGGATAATTAATCTAATGTGATAGAGCTGAGGATTTATCTTAATATTTAAATACAGGATATTATTTCATAATGTCAAACTCTATTTTTCAAACTAAAATTCCCCTGCTTTTATGCAATAGGATTTTGCAAAGGACAGCTAAAGTGACAAATCAAATCAACCTTGAGACTTTACCACCCAATGCTGTGCTAACAAATGGTTCGAACTGTGTCTTCTCTTCTGAGAAGGTCTCACTATACAGGCAAGATTGACAACCATATAAGGAAACTTAAGATGCACATCCTAATTACATAGAGTAATCCTAGGGAGCTATATATGGTAAGCTAAATCTCCTCTCCTATTTAGAGCCTAGAATAATCAGTCAATTACAGATTAATTACAAGCATAATTTTTGGTCCTGTTATGTTACACAGAATGGTTATTTCTTTCTATTGACAGCTGCAGTATGACATAAGAGTCACGTTTAGCACTATCGAAGAATTTTTTTTCTCCCTTGTAACGTTTAAGCTTTTAGAGGATGTATTTCAACAAGCACTAATGAACAAGAGTTTGAACTTAAATTATTCATTAATTCATCAAATGATAGTAGAAACTAAGCTTGTGCAAAAAAACAAATGAAAGCAACATGATATGTACAACTTACTCAAGATCAGATTTCCGCATTCGAGGAATATATTCATACAACGAAGTGAGTGTTCCACCATGAACTATACAGGCTCTTCGTAAATGTGAAGGTAACTCTTCGATATGTTTGGAGGAAGCTAAGATTCGAATGAATTGGGAAAGAATATCTCCAAAATGTTGGGACGCCTTCATTGCAATTAAGTTCCTCGTCAGAATGGTTAAAAATAAATGTACCACATCAAAAGTTCATCTCATCCATAGTAAATTTCATGAAGGAAGCCAAAGATTATGTTACTCCACCTCTCTTGCAAACTCTGTTGGAAGAATGTCTACAGCTGAACAGATCAAACCACTGCCCTCCATGTCATGATGATATGATTCGTTGAGGGGATCATATCTAAAAGGCAATTTGACCAAATTATCAAGAACAATCAAAGAAAAAAAGTTTAAGAGAAATATATTTATTGAATGAAGTCAAAATAAGCCAATGTAAAAAATTAGATTAAATAATATAAGTTCATTTTCTTAATTATGAACTCGTGCAGGCAGCCACATTGTGAGACTCGCACTGAAAAGGCAGATCCTTGAATCGAAGCACCAACAATTTAAGGATTTTCTTAAAGGGAAAAATTATGATATCAACTGACAAAGTGCAAAAAACTGATAAAGTACCTAAAGAAAGGCGAGTCAATTAATGTAGTTTGGTTAACTAATTCTATTGAGCCTCCGATATCACAAGTTATATCAGCAATTCCCATGAGTGGACATCCGTTCCTCATCAGATTTTGCAGCTGCTTAATAGTCAATAATCGAGGATATCTTTTTTCCCAATACATACAATTGACTGCAAAGAAAAATAAAATACAAGCTAGATCATTCATTATGGAATGCCTGAAGTATTTCTATAAAAAAGTTCTACAGATGTTACATATTGAAGATTAATGAAAAACATATGCAATATCATAAACATATACCACAAAGAGGGTCAGCGAAACAAATAATAATCGTGTGTTCATTTGTGCAGGGTTTAAATACATTGTAACAAATTCACCAGTACACTAGCAAAAAAGTGAAATGGTTTATAAGCAATTTTAATTTACTTGTCATGAAGTTGAAGCAGTCTACATAAGCTAATTTGTGCTTGATATTTTGAAGTTCATGAAATATGCAGCACTACATCTATATGTGAAGTGGTGCTCAATAATCAAAGTTATAGTAGAAATCATTAGACTACTCCATAAAATGATTTACAACATGGAACCAACAAAGTTCCCTTGATTCATCGGAAAAGTAACTAACGCCAAATCAATGTAGAGTAAAAGATGCATGAATTTGTAACAAAATGTATAACCCACATAACACTAACGATGGTTTATCATGGAACTTAAATATCCAATTATTAATTTTATATTTTTTGGATAAATATAAAATTATTAATTTCTTTTCTTTTGGCTTCTACTACACTCAGGACAAGAGATTAAACCAAAGATAGAACTAAAAACTTGTTACACTGAGAGTGACAAATGAAACCAATTGAGGTCAAGTTTGGACACGATTCGATTATAATGCTTCAATATAGTTTACGTAGTATCCTTGAATGCAATCACATTATTCTTACTGGAATGAACGTATGCAGGGGCGGACCTACATGAGGCCCAGTGGGGGCCACCGCCCCCACTCAATTTTCAAATTTCCCGATTTTTTTCAGATTTTCAGATTTTTTTAGTTTTTTTTGTTCATGTTTTTTTAGGTTTTCAAATTTTTTTCAAAGGTTTTTTGGTTTCGCCCCCACTGAACTTCCTTCCTGGGTCCGCTCCTGAATGTATGACCAATATGAATTTTGAGAAACATAATGAGATTGTGTGCAGAGAATTCTAAGAGAGGTTATAGCTCTACTACAATTAGGTTCAGGAGATATAAACCTTCTCTCAGTTTTCATTTCAATCTGGCAGCCTTACGAGGCATGTACGAAGAGTTAAGGTTTCACATCCTTCCCGTGTCCCCTTCATTGCATATTTTCTTAAATTAATATAATGATAGGATCTGTATAAAACAAAACAAGGAGATGCACTGAGTCTTCCTGAGTCATTTCACCTCTGGACTTACCATCAAAACCTGCCATTGATACACTTTTGCTCACAAGTATCTCACCATGTATGTAGGAATCGGGATGAAGATGAAGATTAATATTTATAGAATGTTATTTTGGAATGGCCCGATTCAGCAGAGAAATGACTTACTACAACTTTACTGTAAAGCAATTATAAACATGAAGGAAAATTTAGTCAAATCATATTTGAAAGTTGCAGAACCAAGTAGAAGCTGAAATTTAGTTTGGAATTTTTCCACGATGATACAGAAAAGAAAAGACAATTAATGCAAACAGATTACTCAAGGAGAATTTAGGAATAATGTATGAAAGAAATGGGTTCTAGCATCTAAGTTAGGCAATGGAATCAAGTTCCAGCGCATTGTATTCCAGATGAAGGGAAAAAGTGTATTAGAGTAAGATATTTCCGAATATTGAATTGCTATTGCTAGTTAGTATATTTTGAGTTTAAATCAATCAAAATATAATAAGTACAATCCAGACACTTATGCTAATTGTTAGTGGTTCAAAAAGAAGGGAATAGTTAAGACATGATCTTAATGACCGAGTAACACAATGTATTTGCTTCTACTACGTTGTAACGATAAAATTCATGATCGTATTCCTACACTAAAGATGAACTGAGAGCGATAAACACTGACCTATGACAGAAGCAAATGGGGCTATTTTTTCATGAAAAATAGGTCTATAGTTCTCTGGATGTGCATAATAGTCAACCTGGCAAGAAAAACAAATAAAATTACAATTAAGTTGGTTAGTTGATTAAAATAGAAAAAACAAGACACACTGAGTGAATCATTTTCATGTTTCAAGGTAGTAAAATAGTTAAGATGAAATATCACGAGCAATTAATTGTTATCATTTTCTTAACTAAAATTTATAGCATAAAATGCCTCTCCATGAAATAACCAAACCTCCTAATTATGAATTTAAAATTTTTGCATTCAAATGTAAAAAAATCAGACTGATAAAGGATCCATTATGAAAAAACTTGTTCCTGTGAGAGAAGCCCCTAAACAAACTATTGAGCAGTATCTTTGACAATTTTTACCATATATAACATAAAAACAGTATTACCTTATAACCTTTGTTATTACCTCTAATTCTTGATTAACTCTGTGCATTATCGAGAAATTTCCTATCTTCTCTCTCTTGTTTCTTTGATTTAAACTAAAAATTAGTTTCCTAAGATCGTTTAATATTTAGGTACACTCAACTAAAAGATACAGAAAATTTGAACAAATTACTACAATTTGTTGGATTAAGGAATATCTAAATGTGAATCTTATTAGACGTTAGTTGTTATATTTGAGAGTTTGTGGTAATCTCAGTGTTTCAACTTTCCATTTTAACATACATCAATACGGATGGTTAAATTTCTTCTCGGTACAAAAGCTCAAAATTATACTAGTGTGTTCGTATGTATTTCTTTATTACTACTTATAAAAAAGGTATATGTGTACAAAAATATAATATCAAATCATGAGGAAAATGATACCATTACTTGTGTTCACCACATGTTACTAGGATCAAGTCCATCTAAATTTTGCCCATATGTAATCAATAAAATCCAGTAATTGGAAACAAAAGACAATGCCATACCTTATCAAAGAATTTTGAAGGATCTTTGTGCTCTACCATTTCTTGACTGGTCACAACACAACCACATACTTGAAAGATTCTTTTTGTTGTTCGTCCAAATTCAGTAGTATTTCTGGCCTAGTTACATGAACAAATATGCATTACTACAAAGTAAAATCTATGTAAGACCAGGCTTCAGCTGAGAAAATTGGAAAAATGAACCAATGCAGAAAGGAAAGATGGCAAAGATCTAATTAAGTATGAAATTGTCAGAATAATCAAAAGGATCAATTAGAATCAAAGTTATTGCTAGGTGACAAGCATTTAATCCAATCACAGCTACGTAAGAATCTAAACAAAGCTTAATCATGATTTCAGACTATGTAATGCTCTCATTCATAGTTAGTTGAAGCACTTGCATGCATGTATTGCAGAAAAAACAGGTAGTGATGAAAATAACAAAATTTCCATATCATAATTAATTTACTCGAGAAAAGGAATATTTTTTAAAATCTTAAAAGACCAGTAATAGATAGTAAATCATTGACTGCAGAAATTATGTGTTACAAAAGCCATCTATTCAGGCCTGGTTTAAAGTTTAACTTGGTTCTTCACCACGTCAATGCATAACAATATAAAAGTCCCTTTTCAACCTTATAAACGAAGAAGGTATTCAGCTAACTATAGTTAAGCAGATAAATCGCACATTGAAAACTATGTTTGTAACAGCTATCTTGAGGGAACATTCAAAAAAAAAAATTACCTTCTCAAATAGTCCTGGAAGTCTGCTTGGATCCACATAGATGTAAGGAAGTAGCTTAAAAATTTCTTGTGCACCCTGGGAAACTACAGAAATATCTCAAGTCATAAATAAGGTTTCATCTACTTCAGTTCTTAGAATCTTAGTCATCTAGTTATACATCTACGTCGAATTTATTAGTCATGTATAAGATTTCTCATATTGAAGAATATTAAAATTACCAACAGGAAAGCAAAAATACCATTTCCTGAACCAGTGAAAACAAATACGAGGGGACAGATTCCTGATGGAAGTCCAGCAGTAGCTATCTCTTCTCCAACAGAAATTACTGCAGCCTTTGCAGCTGCCAGTGAAGTATACATGTAAGATGCACCAAGCGAGAGAAAAGGTGTTGAATAGCCAAGATTAAGATACCCTGAAAGATAGACCATTAAATACTCATTAGAAGAACGGAATTACATGCCATAGGTTCCCAAAATGGAAAGGACTTAACCTGGTAATTTTAATTAATAATTATAATCATGTTAACCTCTTCCACAATCAGATAAAGAGCAATAAATAAAGAAAAAAGAGAAGGCAATTTTTAAGAATATCAACTGAAAACACTCCAGAAACTTTGAATATTCCAGACAATGAGTACTGAGCTGCATACGTTGTCCTAGGCCACGCAAGAAGTCAATCATCCCAGCTCTTCCAGCAAATTTTCCAAATGCAAGCAATCTTCTACCATGATCTCCAACTATAAGCTCATAATCGAACAAAGACGCCCTTTCAGATAATATCTAAAAGTAAGACAGAGTGAGAAATTAAGAGCACAAATCACTGAGAATATTTTTCTAGGTATTTCATAAGGACATACCTTATCAAGTAGAGGCATATTTTCTTTTTGTGCCTTGTGAGTATGGGAGAAAAATGCATAGGCTCTATCAGGAAGAATCATATCTAACTGCAGTAAACACAAACACAGAATATCTTAGATCTTTTAGAAGGCTTTGAAGTAGCTAAAAGCAATGAAATGCACCTTTGGTTGTTTGATTCCCAATATGAGACCACATTCTGACAAGTCCTCCGATATGTCACAACCAACATCTTCATAGAGAGCATCGTGATGGATACGCATAGTTGATGGTTGAACAATGATCCGGGTAACTCCAGTTTTATTACTGCCACCATGCAACAGTCGGGCACAATGAGACGGGGTAAGGGGAACCCTTCTCTCCCATTTATTCGTGGACTCAGATAGGATTCCAACAACTCCATTACCAAGCATCTTGTCCTTCTACCTGCATAAAATGAATCAAGAATTTATCACATTGGCTTTCAACTTGTATTAGTATAAATGTACAGTTCTTGTCCCACGTGATTCAATCAAGCTCACACACCACAATACGACCGCTGCTCCTAAGCGATATAAATTACAATAGAGGAGCAGCCTAACTCGGCAACCATAAAACAAATTTACAATCATTCGAGCACAGAAAAAATTCCTAATCAATTTTCAAAAAAATTAAATTCTTCTTTCTTCTAATCCATTACGAAATTCAAACCGCAGAAGAAACCAGCGTCAAATATATGCACATGAAGAGGGATGATCAATCAAGGGGACTCTAACTATACATGAAGACAAACGGAAGAGAAAAAATCTACTAAACAATGGGGTTAAATTCCACTTATTTCACAAGCTTTTCATTTATACAATATCTTATAATCAATTTCCACGTAAACATCAAAACGATTGCTAAATTAAAAAAAAAAATTACCGATCACAGAAAATAACGAACCTGTCGTTACGTATATACACAGCTTTCTCAAAAGAATCCCAGATCAAAATCCTCTGCTTCTTCCGGAAAATGTCTTTTTGATCACCGATAGATGAAGAAGCGTGAAATCTCAACTGGCATTGCCTTGTATTGATGATTGAGGTTACACCACTTACATAGGTTGCTTGGGTCATCACGGAACACGGATTGCACTTTGCCATTATGGGAAAACTATTTTAATTATTTATTCATTTTTTTTTAAATAAATAAAAAATAAGAGACAGACCATGTTCTCCATTCTGACTGGTACATAATACAATTTGAGATCGATCGAAAATTTATGCATGGCAATTTGAAGAGAAATGATCTAATAAACATTAATATTCATCTTATTCTTATCTGAATATATTATAAGTTGTTCGATGTTTATTAACTTTTAAATGATTATAAATTTTATCAAGCGTTCATGTCTCGAAATTCAATTAAATTATTTGTACATTAAATTTAACACCCTTATTAATAGATGAGTGACGTGATAACATTGTGATGGTAGAATTAAATGTGCGAGATGAGAAATATGATGTGAGATTGTACACATTGTAAATTCGATAAATTAGAAAACGCTGGCCATAAAAGAAGGCAACTACTAGAAGGACCCACGTGCATTATAGATTAAACTATAGACGGATGTGACTTTTTGGATTTTTCTTATTATATTTAGTGAAAAGTTGGTTAAAAGGTTTGATCACGTCATCGTACTTATCCAAATTCCGAAGGTGATTGTAGGAATAATACATTGGCTACGTTAAAAATTGGGATAATTACCGTAGTGATATCAAATATTTCATTTAGTTGTAGATTTTGTTCGAACTTTTAACTTGTATCATCTATAGTATCAAACCTATCACTTGTACCACTCACGATACCCAACATTTTCAAAATATCGCAGTTGAAGTCTGAATGGATGGTTTCTGTTAGTTTGACTGTTAGTTAACCAAATAATTGAATTTGACAATAATTTTAACTAATTTTAAAAAGTTAAAATGATAACTTTACATTTTTTTATAATATAATAACTAAAACCAAATAATTAAAATTAAATATCAAAAAATCAACTTCATCTTCTCCATCCACCTCACACATACCCACTCAGGGGCGGACCCAGCACCCGACGAGGGGGCACGGCCGCCAGTGCTAAATCTGCCGAAACTTTAAATTCCGTCGGGCACCGCCTAGTCATTGATTGTTGCAGAAAGAACAGAGATGGACAGAGAAGACGAGGAGGATTAAGGAAGAAGATTGATACTGTTGAGGACTTGAGGTGGGCCTTTTTTTATTTTAGTTTGGCCCATTTGTTCTGGGCTGAGAGAGTTGGGCCTTTTTTTAAAAATGGGACACAATTAAATGAAATAATTTTCATCACCATCACCTTCATCATGTATACGGTATAATTGAATAGTTTTACAAGAATTTGATCACCATTGGAAGAGAAATCAAGCAAAAAGAAGAGAATTTTGAAGAAATGAATAAAATGATGCTAGCAGTGATGCGGTTTCTGTTGTTGTCATGGTGGGAGGTGCAAGTCACGATGGCGGCAGTGCCGCAGTGGCCTTTGTGTTGGTGGCGACTGGTTTTTCACTCTAGATAGCGAGACGTGTGGCGGTTGCTCTGATCGGATGTCAGTTGATGGTTCCAGTGGTAGTGGAGATGTAATTGACGATAAAGACAAGGTCATATTTGTTATTTTCGCTAATTTAGATTGATAGTTGCAACTTTGACGTCGATTTTTTTTTTAAAACATAATTTCTTGATCAAAAATTAAGTTGATTTCTCTTGAAGATTTCTATATTCGTCTCTCTCTGATTTTTTTTTCCTTCCTTCCCATGAGAGTAGTTGATGAACATAATATTGGTTTTTATTGGCTAAGCTTAAAATTTACCTATTTTTGTACTTCATTTGTAACTAGTAAGAATACGAATATTTGAAATTTTATACTTCTTAGTAATTTTATGTTTGCCGAAGTAATGGATCATTTTTGCATTTTAGTTTATTATAATGTTATTAAGTTTAAGTTTAATACAATTTCTAAATGGTTATTATTTAATAATAAATGTTTATAACAAATTGTTAAATATTAATAAATGATCTCACTCTTACGATCGCTGATTGTCGCCGATCAATGGTCAATATCCGTCCGTACTGAACTTTTGTGTTAGGTCCACCCCCTGTACCCACCCCAAAACCATCACCACCAATGCCATCTTCTTCACCGACACTACTACCATCTCCTCCACCGTAATCAATAACTACTCATCTACTCACCACCAACAAAGCGAACAAATTCTATTTTCTAAAGCTAATGTTACAAATTAAAGGTAGTTTTCTACACAAATGGCAACCATGTGCTTGGTTGGTGTTAACTTTACTTTTCCATACTATATTATGAGCAATAAACAAAACCCATAAATATGAAGAATCAAGAAAATGTACAGTCCTCCTTATTTGATCCCCCTTACTGTGAAAAAGAAAAATGGGGAGAATTTGAAAAGGGAATGAAAAATTCAACTTTAATGGTGAAAATCTGTCTCATTTTCCTAATCTGTTAACAAAACAAGATTTGTTTTGGGAAGATGAAGATCTGAACTCTCTTTTCTGCAAAGAAAAGGACGCATTTGTAGATGGAATACGTTCCTCTTTCTCTGCAGGCACGCACAGATACAGTTGAATGGATCTTGAAATTCAAATTTTTTTACGGGTTTTCAGCGTTGACTGACATGCTTGCAGTAAATTATCTTGATGGTTTCTTTGCAGCATCCATTTTCAGAAAGAGAAGGCATTGATGATCCAACTTGTAGTAGTGGTGGTGATGGTTTTGGGGTGGGGGTGGGGGTGGGGGTGGGAGTGTGAGGGGTGGATGGTGAAGATGAAGTTGATTTTTTGGTTTTTAAATTTAGTTATTTGATTATAAAAAGTGTTTAAGTTACCATTTTAACATTTTAAAATCAGTTAAAATTTGTTAAAGTCAATCATTTGGTTAACTAACTTCAAACTAACAAAAATTATCCATTCGGATTTCAGCTGCAACATTTTGAAAATGTTTGGTACCGTAGACACAAATGAAAGTTTGGTACCGTGGGTGGCACAAATGAAATGTTTGGGCAAAGTTGCAACTAAATAAAAAGTTTGATATCGCTGCTACAGTTATCCCTTAAAAATTTGCTTACCAGTTACTTATAAGTAAATTTTAAAATCGATAATATTTTCATCGATCAAAATTAAATTGTACTTCTTTATCTATTGTCCTAATAGTAAGTCTGTCTTCACCATCCGAAGCTAAAATATTGAAAATTGAATAAATAATTAGTCGAGTGGTAAAATGTACTTTGATGTACAACTATGAAGCAAGAATTATCATAATCTTTTTCAAACTTCAATAAACTTCTCTCGTAATAGGAGTAAATTTGAGACCAAATGTAAGAAGCTAAAATGAAGTAATTCTCAATATTTGTCACTAATTCGAAAAAATGCTACGCAAAATATTGTACTTCTTGTAATCCCTCATAATTCTTGTATAATTCTCCGAATACCGATACTTATTATCATAACAACATTCTAAGTCAAGGAGAAATACATAGTGAAAATATTATCATTTTTACTAGGAGTGCCAATGGTTCGGGCTACCCACTAGATTACACTTTTACTTTATTACTTGACTAAGATATCATACATCTGCATAATTTCAGCGACCATATACCACACTCCAATTATGAGAAAAAACAATTAGGTATGACTCTCAATGAAGCAATTTTTTTTTTATTATTTGGAACACATTAGATGGTTGAATGGTGAAATTTAGAATTAAATTAAAGTTTACTAGTCCAAAAAAGTAAATTTAAAGTTCAGGAACTTAGTTGAGAGAAATTAAAGTATAGTTACCCAATTGAGTTTTCGCTAAAAGTTTAATGACCGCAAATGAAATTGACCC